CTCCACTCACGGTGCCGGGGGTGCCAGGGGATCTCCGGCGGTGCGTCGCCCCCCGCGATGGCTTCCAGTTGCGGCGGAGACGCGGCGGCTCGATGGCGTAGCCATCCACTCTGCGAGACTGCTTTCTCGCACCCTGGCGACTCCGCCATTCGAAACCAAGAACTTTGCAAAACACGTCTTCCCAAACATCTTTGTGCCCGCGAATGCGATGAGCACGATCGGCGCCACTTCTCAATGTCCCATGGACTACCAATATCGACTAGCACCAGAGAGAGAGTTCTGACACCCCAAGACATGTTTCAATGGGCTCTCCCTCGGGCCAATGCTCGACCCGTGCCTTCCCTGCAAGCTGATCGATGCGCGATGCGAAGGGCTTGGCGATGGATCAATAAGGCGCTTGCTTTGCCAAAGCAAACGTAAATTTGTGCTGCTGTACGTTGATAATGAGCCTTTCGGTTCTCATGGGGCCGCCAGTATCTTAAACGCGGAACGTATCATCCGCAGCTCCCAAGTTCGGCGCCGTTTCACAACCTTCTGGTGGATGCGCCACTTGCTAGCCCCATGCGTGACCGATGCCCCACATTGCGTGCGCCAGGCCCGGATGCGTCCAAGGAGGTTGCCCAGTGTTTGCAACGTACCTTTGCTCTTGTGGAGCACCCCTGTGGCCGCGCAGATGCGACGTTCAGTGCCGGTCCGTGCCCGGCCACGCTCATCCAAGATATCAGAAAGAAATAAGAGGTCATGGGCCCGCCTTTAATCGAGGAGCTCATTCCCAACATGTACCTGTATGTTCACCGTCGAAGTCCCCATCGCGGTTCCTCCAGCCATATACTGCAACGAAGACAATTTCCATGCCGTTTTCGCTGTGTGCAAAACGGTGGCCAGGTCCTGCGCCATGCGTTAGCGGCTGCGCACCCGATGCAATCATAATCATGCTACACCCATCGAAATTGATGCCCCAGCCCTGCCGCATCCACTGTCCGATAACTGGCTCGACAATGGTTTCCAACAAAGCGTTCCGTTCTTAAGTCGTCTCCACTCCTTCCTGCTTACCCACGAGGGTAACTGAAAAGCTCGCAATCGCAAGCTCCTGGGAGGGATGCCGTGGCCTGTGCACCAGTGAGTTCGCGAACGCAATGCCCAACAGGACCTGGCCAAACGCCATTGCGTCGCGCGTAAAATGTGCTGTCAGACGGCAAGGGGTGGAATGGAAGTGAAACGTCCTGGGCACAAACGTGCACCTCGAACCCCGTCGAATCCCCGAAAAATAATAAACGTGCGGTAAAGCGCGTAAGCACTTAACGTGCGGAGGGAGGCAGCCTTGCGGCCGCCCTCAGGACGTGCGTCAACAGGTAAGCGTCGCAGCACAGGGCGGAGAAAGACGAATGCGTCCAGCTCCAGGTCTTGTGGCGGCCAGTCTAATCGAATCTGGCGACGGCAAAGACCATGGTAACATGGGCAAAGGGTGTAATGCTGAATGGGGTCGTCGGCCCGCCCGCAGCCCAGAACGCATTTTCTGGAACTCTCGAAGCGACGAACCGTCATCCACCCATTGAACCCCGCCCGAAGGACTGCAGACAGCACCCAGGGGGGCATGTGTAGCCCGTCGTGTTGGAGCTGCCGTCGAAATGCTGCGCAACGGTGACCTGGGAAAACTGTGGCTGGTCAGTGATGTAGTCGGCTTTGCAGTAAGCGTTCAGCCAGCTCCGACTGGGCCAGGCGCGTGGTGCGGAGGGATGTGAGCTTGCCAACCCTCGCGTTTCCCTTCCCCGGTCTCTGGGTCCAGAAGAGCCGCGGTGAGGTCGCCCTTCCGCGCGAACGCCGTGAGTGCGGTGTCAAGCGAGAAGAGGCAGGTGTGGGCGGCCCATGGTAGGCGGACGCTCTCGAACTCCGCAAGCATGGACCTCAAAGAGGCGGCGCGATCGCGCACCCGTAAGCACCGCTCCTTCGAGCCTCGTGCAGCGCCACCCGTACTTTCGCAGCGTCAGCGATCGCGTGCAGGTCGGCTAGGTCCCAAAGGAAACCGAGGGAACTCAGGTGCTTCCGCATGTCACCACTGATCCAATCGGTCGGGCCTGGAAAGGACCTTCGGAGGGCCCGGGCCTCCAACTGAGGGAAGTCGTCGGGGAGGGGGTCGAGTTGCAGAATGAAGGGCACCACGGAGGCGACGAAAACCTTGCAAGCCTCAATGGTGTGCAGCAGTCCTGCTCCTGCCTTGCACCACACGTCCGCGCAACCAGAAACTTTCCCATGGCTCCCCTCCAAGACTTCTGCCCATCATACTACTTAGTAATGGTTCCCTGTATTTCCCACAGTCTCCATCACTTTCCCATGGCTCCATCATAACCCTTAAAATCCATCCTCGTCCTCCTCCTCCTCCTCCTTCACCTCCTCCTCCTCCTCCTCCACCTCCTCCTCCTCCTCCTCCTCCTCCTCCTCCTCCTCCTCCCCCTCCCCCTCCCCCAGCCTCCTACCCCTCTGCTCCTCAATCCTCTTCCATCTTCCTTCTTCCTCCTCCTCCTCCTCCTCCTCCTCCTCCTCGTCCTCCTCTTTGTCCTCCGGGCCTGGTCCTCGTTCTCATCCAACTAGAGCCGCCAACTGCCATTATCGTTACCGTTCGTCGACAGAGCTGAACTGTCCGTCTGGCCCGTCGGATGTGTTACTTTGCATCGCTGAGTAGAGTGCTTCCGCGGCGGAAGCAAACACACTCATCAGCGGGGTGCGTGTCCTCTTCTTATCTTCCTCCTCCTCCTCCACACAGGGCGTACAAGATCGAGAATTCGGACGGTGTTTTTCTGGGAGTCTCGGAGCCTGAGGCCCACAGACACCTCTAGAGACCATCGGAGAACCTCTTCCTTCTCCACCTTCTCCTCTTCTTCCTCCTCCTCTTCCTCCTCCCCCTCCTCCTCCTCCTCCTCCTCCTCCTTGCCATCCTCCCACTCTTCTTCTTCTTCCTCCTCCTCCTCCTCCTCCTCGTCCTCCTCCTCCGCCTCCGCCTCCGCCTCCTCCTCCTTCTCTTCGTCCTCCTCCCGCTCCCACGCCTTCTACTCATCCTCAACTTGCGCCGACTGCTCCCGCAATCGGGGAAACCGCTATACACTCGATAGCGGCTTCCCCGTCTGTCGCTGGCCCGAGGCCATAGACAATGCCGCCATTGTTGCTGCATCTCCCCTCCCCCTCCTTCTCCTCCTCCTCCTCCTCCTTAGCATCAGCATCAGCATCAGCACCAGCACTTGCATCATCATCACCACCACCATCATCACCATCATCATCATCATCAGCATCATCACCATCATCATCGTCGTCATCATCATCACTGTCATCCTCATCATGACCCTAGACTTAATCCTCGTCCTCATCCTCATTCCAATCATCATCATCACTATCATATTTCTTCTTCTTCATCGTCATCGTCATCATTGTCATCATCATCACCATCACAATCACCTCCACCATCATCGCCACCATCCCCATCCCCATCCCCATCCCCATTGCTATTATCACCATTCGCATCATCATCCTCATCAACACCATCATCAACACCATCATCATCACCATCGTCATCGTCTATGTCATCATCGTTTCCGCCATTATCAACATTATCATCACCGTCACCAGCATCATCATCAGCACCATCATCATCATTATTTTCAGCATCATCAGCATCGTCACCATCACCATCACCATCACCACCATCACAAGCACCAGCATCAACATCATCCTCATCGCCGCCATCACCACCATCATCATCATCCTCCTCCTCATCAGCATCATCACCATCACTTTCTTCATCATCTGCATCATCTTCATCGTCTTCATCGTCGTCGTCGTCGTCATCAGCAACACCATCACCATCAGCATCGCCATCACCAGCATCACCAGCATCGCCACCAACATCATCATAATCATCATCATCCTCATCCTCATAACCACCATCGAACTATTGGCAGTACAGCACTCTTAACTTCTTCTCCAAACCAATATCGGGCCAAACTCATCGCACACCTGTGCAGGAAGGGGCCACAGAGGACAGCGCCGTGTGCGACGTGACGCTCAGGCGCTCTGCGCTCTGTGATGCACCAGCGCCGCGCGCCAAATGACCCGACGACGCCACGCGCCACGTGGGCGCGCACCATGCGGGCGCCCTGCACCCCGTCGTGCCTCCCAAGGGCCCGCGAACGTGGTGACAATTACGTAATCTTCGGGCCTCCGAAGGAGACGTGCGATCTCGCCTGGACCCGCGCTGCCCCGAACTCCGTGATGCCTCCCAGGAGCCCACGGAGGTGGCGACAGTTGTGCAGTTCGCAGCCACCCAGGGCTCTGCGAGGCCACGGCTGGTTGCGCGTGGCCCCCGAAACCGCTGGACCTCCCAGGAGCCCACGAACGTAGCGACACTTGCGCAGTTCGCAACCACCCAGGGAGCAGCGCAGGAGCAGGCAGGAGAATGGGCGAGGAAGAGAGGAGGAGTGAGGAGTGGAGACCCCGGCGCCCGATTCAAAACGAGAATTCAACACACGAGGACCGGGAATACGTATAACAGTGATAATACTAATCAGCGTTGTCGTCTTCCTCGTGGGCGTTACTCACCAATGTCGCCACCATCATCATCATCATCATCATCATCATCATCATCATCATCATCATCATCATCATCATCATCATCATCATCATCATCATCATCATCATCATCATCATCATCATCATCATCATCATCAACATCGTCATCGTCATCGTCATCGTCGTAGTCGTCGACGCAACCGTCATCGTCATCGTCGTCACCATCGCTGACATCCTTATCGTCATTGTCGTCATCATCGTCATCATCATCAACAACGTCATTGTCATCATCGGTCCCCTCCTGCCCCTCGCACTCGTCCCCGTCCTCGTCCACTGCCACCCATCCTGCTCGTGGCACTCCTCCTCCTCCGCCTCGCGTTCCTGGTGCTGCTACAACGGTTCGGCACTGCCCCTGAGCCAGCTCGCCGCCGCTCCCCCGCGTCCGTGGCCAACAACCGCGGCACGCCCTGGAGAGGCGCCAGGCGGCGAGCCTGCCAGAGCATCCGACGAGAGAGCGGCGCGCGACAATCATGTACATGCTGTGCTGCAGAACTCCAACTTCTTTCAATCCGCTACCCCCAAGGGGGACGACAGACTGGGAGGCGTAGGCGTCCTGCTCCCTGCAGCAGTTCCAATGCGAAGGCTGTAATGATTGACATCCGCGCCAAGACCCCAGCCCGAAAAGCATCCACTTCCACATCGGAATCTCGTCCTCAAAATATGTTGGGGCGCTGGGGCACATACGAATACGGCTGATTCGCGCCCAAGATGCCACATTCCCCCGCAAGCTGCGACAACATATTCGCGCCCCCGAGGCCATAATCGCTTGCAATTTTCTGCGAGTTCGCCCTCACGAGGCCGCAATCCTGGAGCCGTACGGGAGCCCGCCTTTGGAAGCCGCATGTTCTCCGACTATTCCTTTTGAGTCTCATCCACCAGATAATCCTCCTCCTGCTCCGACGGGGAAGTCCTTACCGTTGAGTTCGGATCGTAATCAAACGCATAATCAAAAACAGGATTCGGCTCGTAGCCCTGATTCTCCCCAACAGAGTCAAACTCCTTGCCATTTTCATCGGCAAAATCGGTCGCCAGCAACACGTCTTCAGGCACCGAACCCGCAAGCAAATCCGCCGACCCTGTCGGCGTGTGTGAGAGGCGGTTCCGTTTGAGTTGTCGTCATCGTCGCCGCCGCTCCCCTCTCTTGACGATTCTCCGCTTGAGTCGTCGTCGTCGTCGCCGTCGCCGCTCCCCCCCTTTCCCTAGGCCCTCCTCAAACGCTTCAGCCAGAGGGAAATCGAGCAACGTCGCGATCGAGTCGAAGGGAGGCCCCTTCACTTTGATAACTCCCCCGCCGGAGAGGGGTGGGGGTCCAGGGGGGGTGGGGGGTGGTCTCATGGGGGGTCCCGGGGATTGTGCCCTCCCCCAGGGGGGAAGCGCCCCTCCCTGGGAGTAGCTTTCCTCCCGATTTCTTGCCCCGAGCTCACTCATACGGCGGCTTGCTCCAAGAGGGCCCTGAAACAGCCCAAGATCGCTCCAAGACGGCTCAAGATACCCTCAAGACGACCCTGGAAGCATCGAAAACGCCCCAGGGGAGCCCCAATAGGGCCCCAATAAGCGAGCATCGACGATTCTCATTCAGGTGTTCTATGCTTTTCGCGTCCTCGCCTTTTCGGGCTTCCGACGTTCCAACACGGTCCAGGAAGTCCACACACATCGCCCCAACAGGGTCGAAGAGGCCGCCGAAAACGCCCAGAAACAACCTGGGACGGCACCAAGACGGCCCCAAGACCGCCCAAGAGGTCAAGAGGTCCCCACGACGGCCGAATAGGGCCCCAAGAAGGCTCCAAGTGGCTCCCGAGAGGGGGAACACCAGCCGACATGTCGAGCCTTCCGCCCCAAGAGGGCCCCAGGAGCCCACAAGTGGCGCCAGGAAAGAGCCCAAGAGGCCCCCGAGAGGCCCACGAGCCGTAAGATCACTCCAAAGAGATCCCCAAGAAAGTAGAGCACCTGAATTCCCTGATGTGTTCAACGTTTTTCATCGTCGCCGTCGTCGTCGTTCTCCTTCAGGGTCGGTGGCACCGGTCGTAAGGCCTTCGCAATCGGTGAGCTTCAAATGGGTCGCGATGACCGACTCGTTGCTGCCCAGAAGGCTGGATACTGTCGATCTCCTTCGTGAACATGCGCACCCATGGAGGTGCCGAAAACACATTCTTGGCATCGTGTTGTGTGAGCTCGCTTGCCGCAAAGAAGATAAGATTCGCCCCCTTCACCGCCTCCAGCCGAACGGCTCTCCGGGTACTCGACCCCGAAGGCGGTGGGCCCTCGCCGCTTCCCTGTTTCCGCCGCCGCGCTGCTGGCTAACAGACCCGGGTCCGCCCTCGACCGGTCGGCCCCACAGGGCACCGCGGTACACCGACGGCCCCTCGCCTGCGCACCCCTCCCTTGAACCGCCCCCTGGGCATCGCTCGGCCGTCCATTCCCTGTGCTTTTTTTCGATTGCGTGCGTGGCTTCTTTCGCCAAAGGATCCAGGATGCTCCTCGGTGGTCCTCGCCGAAGGAAACATGCACGCGTCCGAGCGATGCCAAGCCCCAGGCGGCGCGGGTGACCTCGCCCGCCGGGAGCGGGCCCCCCCTCCTCCGGCCGGATGGGGCCTCGGCTCGAGCCACGCGACGCGGGGGCCCTTTTCCCCCCTCGGCCTTCCTCGGCGTCCCTGGGCGCTCCCCGGGCCCTCCCTGGGGCGACCAGGCACGGCGCCCCCGGCTGGGGCGGAGCTCCCGCGGCGCCGCGGCACGGGCAGAGCAGCGCGCTGCCTCGAAGCACTCGCCCGAAATAAACGCAACCCACCTGGGCGCACCTCATGATCTCTCGCGCTTTGTCTGGTGCGTCTTGTTTTGCTGCCAACGCGCGTTTGCCGTGCGCGCGCCTCCGCGAGTGCCTGACTTCTCGCCGTCTCCCCGAAGGAGCTGCACCGCGTCGCCTTGGGCTCGATCCTGGCACTTCTCCGTGTTCAACTGGGAGATCTTGTCGCCCTGCTTGTAGAGAACTTCGTGGGCCATGCACTTGGTGTCCTCCGGCTCGGACTCGACTCTGAGCTCGGGTCTCGCAGCAGTTCCGCTGGGGTGTCCAAAATGAAACGCCGTCCTCGGCAGCCTGACCGCCCGCGCTGGAGCAACGCTCCATGTAGCTAGGCACAACCCTTGAACCCAAGCGCCCCAATACCACCACTGCGAGCCGAAGCCCCCGTCCCGACAGCGCGCGCAGCCCAGCAAAGGAGGGGTGGCGCCACCACGGCGGTCTTCGTGTTGGCGTCGGTCTCCTCCGTCATGCATCCGTATGCCGGAACGTGCGCTGCGTAGCTCCTCCATCCGAACACGGCGAGTCGCTGTGCAGGTGGGCCGTGTTGTCCTGGGACTCCTCCAGCAGCGTCCACAAACACCGTGAGAAGTGGATCCGAGGACGGTCGTGCAATGTCAAGGGCAACCCGAACGCTCAGACTTCATCCCTGAGTTGAGGGCCGGGCGCACCAACCTCGCTGCCGTGTCGCCGACGTTGATGACCAGGTGCTGCGCCCGCCCTTTTCCGTTTCTGGCGCGCAGCTGGGCGTAGGAATTGTTGTCCACACGTGTGGGCGTGCTTGGACCGCGCACCTCGGGAACAACCCTCCTGCCTCTCCTCCAGAACGTGGGGTGTGTGGCGCCGGACAATGCCCGAGGAACGGCAGCAGCGGACCCAGTATCAACTTCAGTGGCTTGACCGAGAGGTAGCTTAGCGTGGTTACGATCGAATGCGGCCCGTAGCCTATACCCACGATGATCACGACCAGCAGCATGGCGAGGAGCACACCCGACACGATCAGCCGATACAAATAGCTCCCGGAGGCGACCTGGCCCACGGTGGACACGGCGCCTCCGATCACGCTACCTCCACCCGACGACGCCTGCTGGAACAGTGGAGACTCCCATTCGCTGAGCAAACCGCCGATCCATGCCCCCACGAGAGTGGGGTGCGCATGATGGAAACCCCACCATCCTCACCGTCCTCCTTCTGTGTCCTCCTCGTCCCCACGCGGTGGCGGCGGTGGAGCCTGGGTTGATGGCGTTTGGCGGCCTCCGTCCGGCGTGCGAACCAACCTCCATCCGCGCCTCGCCGTCGTCGCCGTCGTCGTCGTCGTCGTCGTCGTCGTCGTCATCGTCGTCGTCGTCGTCGTAGTTTTTCGTCGTCGTCGTCCTCCTCCTCCTCCTCCTCTAGACGCTCCTCTACCCGAGGTTCACGCTTCGTGACCTCCTGGCGCGGCTGCGGCTGGGCGACATGCCCCTTGCCGCCCGCGGGCGTCTTGGCCGGCTGCTTGGGCGTGACGCCACCTTTGCCTCCTACCTGCCCTCCTCGGCCTCCTGATTCGAACTCCGCAAGTGGCTCTCGCGTCCTCACCCGCGGTCCGTGATCCCACGGAGACGACGCATCCGTTCCTCGACCCTGACTCTGCGCAGCGGCGCGCAGCTCGGCTGCGCTCTCCATATCCTCCTCTCTTCGACCTGCCAGCCCATTCGCCACCTCGTACAGGCTGAAGGGCTCGTCGTCGTCCCAAAGCATGTGGGACCGCGGGCGTCGCTGCCTCCGTCCTCGAAGGCCAACGCCCGATACTTGCGGCGTCCAAGGCGCCCAGGACCATGGGGAAGGTTACCTCGTCCTCCCCGAGAGGCCCCGGCCTGGCGGCGGCCGCCCGGCACAGTCGCGGCGTCGGCCGGTGTGGCTCCCCGCGAGCCGGCCCCAGGGGCCAGCTGGGCAGCCGCGGCCTTTCAGGCCCCGAGGAGGACTTGAGCCCAAATGGGCCGCAGAGAGACTGAGGAGAGGGAGAAGGAGCACAGGCACCCCCCACGCCCCAGCCACTTCCACCACACTTCCTGTCACGCCCGAAATTGCACGTGTTAGAACTCCCAGAATCCTCATGCATCCCCCCTGATTTAGAGACTGGCCGCGCAGCAAGGAACGGGACAATTTTTGGTCGGCGGGGCGAGAGCGAACCTCTTCCGCTAGAAGCTAGGCGGGCTACGCACAGCTTTAATTAGGGAGACAGGGCACAGGCGGGCGGGGCCTCAGGCGGCCGGAGTGGGCGGGGCCCAGGGTGCAGGCGGTGCCGAAGAGCTCCCCCCTGATTTAGAGACTGGCCGCGCAACAAGGAACGGGACAGACAGGGGCCCAAAAAAAGGAGCAGGGAAGGAAGGCCATCGCAGAGCCAGTGGTGGGTTTGCGGCCAAGGCCCGCTCTTCCCATTTCGCCGCCATCCCCCCCTCCTCCTCCTCCTCCTCCTCCTCTTCCTCCTCTTCCTCCTGCCCTTTTCCTCCTCCTCCTCCTCCTCCTCCTCCTCCTCCTCTTCCTCCTGCCCCTCCTCCTCCTCCTCCTCTTCCTCCTGCCCCTCCTCCTCGTCCGCCTCCTTCCCACCTGCTCCCCTTCTTCCACCTGTTCCGCCTGCTCCCGCTCCTGCTCATGCTCCTCCTCCTCCTCCTCCTCCTCCTCCTCATCAACATGATCACCATCATCACCATCACCATCACCATCACCATCACCATCATCATCATCACCATCACCATCATCATCATCATCATCATCATCATCATCGTCATCGTCATCATCAGCATCATCATCATTACCATCATCGTCATCAGCAACATCTTTTACATCAGCAACATCATCACCACCCCCACCCCCATCCCCACCACCATCATCAGCATCATCATCACAATCATCATCGTCATCATCACCACATCATCGTCATCAACACCAACATCATCGCACTTATCATCATCACCATCATCATCATCACCACCATCGTCGTCATCGTCATCATCAAGATCACCATCATCATCATCAACATCATCGTCATCATCATCACAATCACCGTCATCGCCATCGTCACCATCATCATCATCATCATCATCATCATCATCATCATCATCATCATCATCATCATCATCATCATCATCATCATCATCATCATCATCATCATCATCAACATGATCATTACCATAATCATCATCATCATCAACACCATCACCATCACCATTAAGACCATCATCATAATCAGCACCATCACCATCACCATCATCATCATCATCATCATCATCACCATCACCATCATCACCATATAATCTATCATCAAAATCAGCATCATCACCATCACCATCCACCATCATCGTCATCGCGATCGTGATCGTCATCATCATATCATCATCAGCATCACCACAACCACCATCATCATCATCATCACCATCACCATCATCATCATCATCATCATCATCATCATCATCATCGTACGCATCAACATTCTCACCATATCATCATTTCATCATGTCATCATCATAGTCGTCATCATCATTCTCATCATTCTCACCATTCTCATCATTCTCATCATCATCATTATCATCATCCTCATCATCTTCGTCCGTCTCCTTCACACCTCCTCCTTCTCCTCCTATTCTTCCTCCTCCTCCTCTTCCGCATCCTCCGCCTTTTCCTCCCGCTCCTCCTCTTCCTTTTCCTCCTACTTCCCACCGCACCACTCTTCCCCTTCTCCCGCCTGCTCCGCCTGCTCTCGCTCCTGCTCCTGCTCCTCCTCCTCCTCTTCCTCCTCCTCCTCATCCTCCTCCTCCTTCTCCTCCTCCTCCTCCTCCTCCTCCTCCTGCGCGGCCCTGGCAGCTCTCGCTGGACAGTGGTGGCCGGAGTGGCACCAAGGCCACCGCCGCAGTGGTCGCGGCTGCAGCGTGCGGGGCTGCCCAGGGCCTGGCGGCAGCCGCACCGACAGCGTGCGCGGACGGCGCTGGTGACGGCTACGGCAAGACGTGCGAGTTGGTGCAGCTTGAGGTGGTCCTCGATGCGATCAAGGACGCGAGGGTCCTCACGGACTCCGTCGCGGTCCAGGACGCCGAGTGCAGTCTGCGCGAGCGTGGGGCGCCGCAGCTTGCTTCCCGCATCGGGAGGCTGAGCAAGCTTCGCAATGCCAAAGGGCACCCTGATGTCGGATTGGCGAGGGAGGTGCGCTTCCACCTCGCCGGCTCCGATGCTGGCAGCACGGGCGACGGGCTCACAGAGCAGGAAAGCCGTGCGGAGACGGACGCCTACTCCGAGTCTGCTCCCTCAAGATGGTGGCCGCGAACGAGAGGGTGCGGAGCTTGAGGGCAAGGGCGCTGACAAGGAGCAGGAGCAGCCGAAGGCGGAGCAGCTGATGCCGAGGGCCGAGGTGGCCAGCGGCCATGCGGCTGGTGCGGGACCCTGGCCCTGGGGACGCCATGGCCGCGTGCGCCAGGAGGCACGACGCCCTGAACCAGGCGGCTCGGAGTGTGGAGCCGGCCAAGGACGCCTTCACCCGTGCGGAGGCCGAGCTCGACGACGCCGCCGGCGAGCAGAACGAGGAGCTCCAGGCCCTGGAGGAGGCCGAGCGGCGGGAGGTCCTCGTGGAAGCTCGGCCTGCCCCCGAGAAGCCGCCCGAGCTTTGAGCGACGCGGAGGCTCGTGTACCTCCTGCGGCACGTCGGTCGGTGCAGCCGCGGAGGCTCGTGCTCCTGCCGCGGCGGTCGCCCTCTGGATGCGCCAGGGCTCGTGCTCCTCCCGCGGCCCCGGGGGCTGCCGAGAGCAATTGTGCGGCTGCGGAGGCTCGTGCTCCTCCCGCGGCCGCCGCCCTAAGGTTGCGGAGGCTCGTGTTCCTCCTGCGGCCCCAGGTGCTGTGCTTGAGCGATGGTGATTTGAGGCCACGCGGGTGGCACCGCATCATGGTCCAGCATGATCCCCCCCATCGTCCACCTTCGAGCCGCCTCCTCTTTCGCTTCTTCTTCTTCTTCTTATTATTATTATTCTCCTTCTTCCTCCTCCTCCTTCTCCTCCTCCTCCTTCTCCTCCTCCTCCTCCTTCTCTTTCTCCTCCTCCTCCCCCCCCTCCCCTCCTACTCCTCCTCCTCCTCTTCCTCCTTCTTCTCCTCCTCCTCCTCCTCTTGCTCCTCCTTCTCCTCCTCCTCCTCCTCTTCCTCCTCCTCCTTCTCCTCCTCCCTCTTCCCGATGCGCCTCGCGACCCATAAGGATGCTCATGGACGCCGATCAAGACGAACGAAACCTAAGCCTCTTCCTCTATCCCCGGGATGACGGGAGAGGGAAGGCAAATAAAAAGCGGGGAAGGCCCAAGGAGGGATCCGAAGGCCCCCGAAGCCCAGCGGGGTTACCGCTCAAAATCAAACGTGCGCCAGTGTCGAGAGAAAAAACGCACCTCCTCCTTTCCAACCCTCCTCCTCCTCCTCCTCCTCCTCCTCCTCCCTCCTCCTCCTCTTCCCCTCCTCCCCCTCCTCCTCCTCCGATCCGCCTCCTCTTCCTCCTCCTCCTCCTCCTCCTCCTCCTCCTCCTCCTCCTCCTCCTCCTCCTCCTCCTCCTCCTCCTCCTCCTCCTCCTCCTCCCTCCTCCTCCTCCTCCCTCCCTCCTCCCTCCTCCTCCTCCTCCTCCCCTCCTCCTCCTGCCTCCTCCCTCCTCCTCCTCCTCCTCCTCCTCTCCTCCTTCTCCTCCTCTCCTCCTTCTCCTCCTCCTCCTCCCTCCTCCTTCTCCTCCGTTTCCTCCTTTCTCCTCCTTCTCCTCAATCCTCCTCCTTCTCCTCCTTCTCCTCCTTCTCCTCCTTCTCCTCCTTCTCCTCCTTCTCCTCTCTTCTCCTCCTCCTCCTCCTCCTCCTCCTCCTCCTCCTCCTCCTCCTCCTCCTCCCCCTTCTCCCCCCTCTTCCCCCTGTGCGTCCTCCTCCTCCTCTTCCTCTTCTTCTTCTTCTCTTCTTCTTATTTTTCTTCCTCTTCTTCTTCTTCTTCTGCTTCTTCTTCTTTCTCCTCCTCCTCCTCCTCCTCCTCCTCCTCCTCCTCTTCCTCCTCCATGAATCCACTCCTCCTGATGCCCCCTCCCCCCGTCACCCAACCCTTCGCCCGAGGCGCCGCGGCCGAGAAAGCGGGCGCCGGCCAGCCTGCTGCGCGCCCGATGTCGCGGCGGCCACGAGCGGCGCGGGCGCCGCTGTGCGCTGCATGGCTCCGGCCGTCTGCGGGCGGCCGCGGGCGCGGGGCCTCCTCGCCAGTGCGGCGGCGGCGGGGGCGACCACGGCGGCGGTGGCGGCGGCGGCGGCGGCGACGGCGACGGCGACGACGACGACTTTTTTCATCGACAAAGGTGGCTAGGACATCTGAAGACCACTAACTGCGTACTATACGCGAGTCGTGGCTGTTCGTAGTTTACAGAACGATGCAGTCAGAACCCGCCGCCAGGGCGATCACCCTCAATCAGTCAGTGCGTGCTTGCACGGTGCTCACTCCAGCCATGCAGACGGCGTGCGAGCGACGATGCACGAGTGCTCTACCTCGGGTGTTGCAGGGACGCCAGGTGTCTGAAAATCGGGCGTACGAAGAATCCAGCGATTCGCGCATCTGGCCGACTGGCAAGGATTACCTACGACGACGGCGACGACGGCTCCGGCGGCGGCGACTGCGGCGGCGGAGGCGACTGCGACTGCGGCGGCGGTGGCGACTGCGGTGGCGGCGATGGCTGCGGCGGCGACGGCGGCGATGGACGGGCGGCGCGTCGGCGGGCCTCGGAGAGCCTCGGGGGACCTCCGAGAGGCCTCGGGGAGGTCTCGGGTGGCCCTCGGAGGGGGTTGCTCTGGACCAGTGGCCCGCTGACCTCTGGTACTTTCGGGCGCTTCACCAGCGTAGGGAGTGTCCTGGCATGCACCTGCGGGTAACTTAGACAGCTTGGGGCACGCACAAGCATACAACTAGGTGCCTTCCTGGTTCGTCTTGGCAGTCGTCTGACAGGCACCCTCGGGCGATTCAACCAGCTTAGGGCACGTACCTCCCAGAAGGCCTTCGCTGCGCCTACCGCGCGGGCTTCGAAGCAAAGGCCACGACGACGATCACGATCGAGCTTTCAGTTTTTGTTGGGCCCTTTGTGGGCCTCTGGGAGCCTCTGCAGGCCTCCCGAGGCTCCCTGGGACCTCTGGGGACCTCCATGGGCAGCGACGACCACGACGAAGAGAAGAGGTCTCTTGATGATCGGCGCACATGTGGCAACGGAGCCCCCCCCCATCCTCCGTCCCCCACCCACGGGGAGGGCTCGGGGAAGGCTGCCTCGAGAAGGGCAATACGTAGGCCACCGGACTACGCGCCCCTCGGCGAGACCTGGCCGCAGCAGGCGTTCAGATCCGCGCTGACCTTGGGGAGAAATCGGGGCCAGGCCTCCCAGCGTTGGGGCGCGCGGTACGGTCGCCAACTTGGAATGGTTTCGTTCAGGATGCTGGGCGCCGACCCGGAACGAGGGCCAGGAATGGGTTTGCGACGGCGATCGTGCCGACGGCTACAGCGGCGACAGTGTCAGTGACTAAGGCGATGGCGACAGCGGGTCCTCCTCCTCCTCCTGCTCCTGCTCCTGCTACTCCGCTTCCTTCTCCTCCTCCTCATCCTCGTCCTGCTGCTTCTCCTCCAACTCCTCCTCCCCGTCAGAATCATCGATATCATCGTTGTCATCGTTGTCAGCATTATCGTTGCCGCCATCGTCGTCATCATACTCATCAGTACCATCGTCATCATACTCATCATCATCACAATCACCATCATCATCACACTCGTCATGATCACTATCATCATCACCACCACCATCATCTTCACCATCATCCACATCCCCATGATGGTCATCAACGTTATCGTTATAACCACCACCATCATCAGCATCATCACCATCCTCATCATCATGAACATCACCATCCTCACAATCAGCATAACCACCATGAGCATCCTCCTCCTCCTCCTCCTCCTCATCAGCATTACCATTGCTATCACCATCACCAACACGAACACCACCATCCTACGTATCAGCATCATCGTTACAACCATGCTCGTCACCATCATTCCCATCAGCGTCATCGTCGTCGTCGTCGTTGCCATCGTCGCCGCCGCCACCATTATCGACATCATCATCAGCAACAGCAGCAGCAGCAACAACCGCGTCAACATCAACATCGGTGCATCAGCATCAGCCGGCATCAGCCTCAGCGTCAACAGCATCGTGAACGTGGCCATTTGGGCTCAAGTCTTTCGTGCAAAATCTGGCGGTGGAGTGGCCACGGCGTTTCCGCAACTCGCCTGCCCGACGGAAGGCGGCGCCTCCCGAAACGTCGCGGCCGCCTTCGCCGCGGCCGCCGGGAGCAGGGACAACAGCATGCGAACGATTCCGAAGGTCGTGCCGCTGCGCGAGTGTCCTCAACCTGACAGAGAGCACGGGGCTGCCCATGGCGGAGGCACCGGCAGACCCCGACCAGCCGCTCGCATCCGTCCGCCACCTCAAGGCGGCAGCAGGCGTCGCACGACTGCTCGGACGCGGGCGGGGGGCTCAGAGGGCAGGGGAGGGCCAAGCGTGGAATATGGCGAGGGCCTGGCTGTTTTGCGCGCTCGCCCGCCCCCCTGCACATCGTGCTGCACGTCGTCATCCTCGCGGTCGGAGGGTGTGTATGTAGGTTGACGACCGAAAAGTCGAACCTACAAGGGTTGCCGTCGGTACAGGAAGGCAAAAGAGAGGGTATCGATCCCTGTTTCTCATGCGCCGCGGGCAGGCGGCGCTGTACCTGTTTCCAGTGCTTGAGCCGGAGACGGCAGCAGTACACACACATATATATATATATATATATATATATATATATATATATGGAAATAATGATGAATTGAGCGGACTTCATACATCCCCCCGCCCCGAATCCCGCCCGCTCCACGTGGGCTTCGGGCCCGCGGGAGACAAAGGCGGGGCTCGGGATCAGAGGTGTGAGGTCCACTCGACACGTCATTACATCCCCACGAAATCTCCAAACGAGGCCGTCGCGACTAGAAAAAAGGGGGGACAACAACCACGTCACACAATATACTTGGGGGAGTCTATCCGCCTTTAGCCGGCACAGGGTACGCCCCCCCAAAACGCTTCGGCACACCTAGACGGCCCCCCTTCTGCACGGGTGACGAGGTTGAGAGAACAAGGGATAGAAAAAGTGGAAAAGATGCCGCGCCAAAGAAACAGACGCGGGCGTTCCCATCGGCACGCAGTTCATCGTGTGCAAAAGAACTCAAATCGTGTGGGTGCGTAGCAACCGAAACTCTGAATTCAATAATATAGTGATCAGAATTGTGACGACAACTGATCAACACATGCTAAAGGAAGAACCATGTACGGGGCACTCCAGGCACGAAACCAAGTTGGTATTCCAATCGAAGTTGTTACGGCCACTGGTCAAACAAATGAGGCTGTAACGTGATGTGCGAGGCAGTCCAGGCCCCAGAATTATGTGATTACCATCGAACATTTGGTAAACAAGGGGGTCTTCAAAGAAGAGTCATAGGAATCATGCTTTGTAGATGTCGTACTCTGTGTTTCCGACATCCAATGAAAAGAAAGTGAAGTGAATGATCTGGTAATATTTGCGACGGGCGATCTGCCTGGGTGCGTTCGTGCACTCGATGTCACCAGCAATTTCATGCGTGAGTGGGGGGCGACCTGCCAGGGTACGTTTATGCCCATAATGCCAAACTCTAGGAAACGATGTGTCGTCAGATGAACTTCGAGACAACAATATCGTACGAATGCCAAAAGATACGTAACGATATCAGATCAACAATAAACCAATCAACGACACATTTTTGGTCACAATATGCGGGATCCCAAATACGATTGCTACGGTCATCAAACTGTCCGATAGTACGAGTAGCAACATTATCAAGTCAAAGAATGTCACGAGCATTCTAATCGATCTGGATCCAGTTGTTCAGCTAGTACGACCAGTAGCGGTATGCGTTGTCGCTGTAGTGCTCAATGTTGTAGCGCCACCGCGCCGCTGGGAACGCCCTGCGGGTGCCGCTCCGAGTGCGCTTGTTGGTCATGTGCTGCGGGCCTTGCGGCGGGCGCGGCGGCGTGGCCGGCCTCCGCGCGCCCGCCGCGATCGGCGCGGCAGCCGTTGCAGCCCCGCCACTCCAGCGCGCGTCGCCAGGGGCAGGGCCGCCGAAGGCGCCGCGCCCGAGGAGGAGACGGCGCCCATGGCAGGCCCACCGCGGCGTGGCGGCGGAGGAGAGGATGACGGGGTAGAGTGGGGGTTGGCGACCAGAACAATCCCCTTGCCGAAGGCTTTGCCCCCCGAAATGGTTGCAGCGGTGCGATGCCTCGCTCTGACCTGCGCCAAGGTCACAAGGTCCTGACCCGTCTGGCCGATTTGGAAAGCGTTCGCACATATCTTGCAGATGTGCTCATCGAAATTGGCAAGGAGGTCGGTGCAAGCTATTGTGTCCGTCTGACTTTCGGGTGCTCCTTCCTGGGCCAGTGTCTCATTTCGCTCGCGGGTGTTACCGCCGGCGCTCAACTCGCGACCGAGATCGCGGAAGGCCTGATCAGGGATCGTGCGAGCGCTGTCGGTGGCCAGATCGGCGGAGAGAGAGAGTCGCATCCCTTATCGGTCATCTGATCGGGGAGATCGCCCATCGCAATGTCTCCGCGAGACAGGCGTACTGAGGCAATGCCAGGGTGCTCGGCCATGATCTGTTTGGTCTGCTCCACGAGGGCCGTCTCCTTCGCGGCCCTCTCGCCGCCCTGCAGGATGTCATCGCTATCGCTGCGGAGTACTTCGACGATTTGTTCCTGAGTGGGGGCGGCAGCAGATGCGGGGCATCCTGGGCAGACTTGGGTCCTGGAGACTCAAAAGATTCTCCTCGACATCGATCTCTGCAGATGGGCGCGGATGGTGATTGGCGTCAGCCGTGGAGATAGAAGCGCCGGGTTGCTGTGCCCGCGCGGGACTGTCGTTCGGCCGCTCCTGATACAACGGGAATGTTGACAGAAGACATCCCTCAAGTGACGCATCGGCCGCAATCGAGTCGCCCCGCAACTTTGGCAATGCGTAGAGTCTCGGATGACTAGAGCTCCATGCGCTATGGCGCGAAAGATCTCTGACAACGCACGCGCGCAAGCGGGTGGAGGGGCCGAGAGAGGGAGAGCGAAGGCAGGCGACATCAGTGACAAGCCTCGCATGTCTTAGCGGTCTCCGTCGCCCT